TATATATATATATATATATATATATATATATATATATATATATTGAGCAAGACTGTACAGAAACAAATGTCTGCAAATGTCAAACTTCAGCTATTGCTGTTAAAAGGGGTTCTGCAATCTGCTGAATTAGGGGTTGGACACAGTATTTTATCAGAGCTTTTGTGTTTTAACATTGTTTTTTTTTTTATAAATGATGACTATGTGAAATTTGTTGTTTTGTATACCTAAATAAGGTTTACATAATTTAAGGATCTGGTAAAAACCAGATCAGTATTAAGTCTTGATACGTAAAATCCTCAAACTGAAAGACGGTGGGCTTTGCTTCAGTCACAAACTTTAAAACTGGATTTTTTTTTTTATTATGAGTGAGGAAATAACATGATTTAAAATTTCAAATATTTGGTTTTTAACTATCATGTCATTGTTTTCCTCTAAACCCATCTATTACAAAGTATGCAACCAGTTTTAGGTTGTCACAGAGAAAAACTTTGGTATGTGTGGCATTGTGTTTGTTCTCTGCTAGCCTCGCTGACCTGGTCAAACACCCATTCCTCATCACCATTTTGACACTTGAAATCCATTTTTAGATGTAACCTCGGGTATGGTGAAAGACCCAGCGGACGTCTTGGACAGGCAAAAATGCCTTGACGCTCTGGCTGCTCTGCGCCACGCTAAGTGGTTCCAGGTTCGAAACATCATTTTATTTCCTTATTGTAGCCTTATGAGATGGATTATTTATTAATTAATTTATTGAGTTTTTAACCTTTCTTAATCAACAGTACAAGTATTTAAAGTAAAATGTAAATATTCAAGGATGCCTCCTAATGCAATGACCTAATTGTACACTGTATGTATTGACTGTAAATAAGTCTGAATCTGAATCACACATTTAAAACATTACTATAAGAATACTGGCATCCTTGTATTCCCTATTCAATTTGCAAGTACTTGTAGTATAGTGACATGTGATTCCATAAGGCTGCACGATAACTAGAACAAGATGGTTTTATGTCCAGTGTTTGTATTGTTTTCATTCTTAACTTTTTATAGAATGGGGACTGAGAGAAAAGGGGATATCTGAGCGTTTTCCTGTGATTTTGCTTTTTGTGCAAAAACATGGGCAAAGTAAATCAGACTTTCCTGCCTCTTTCAGTCCTTATATGCTTCTCTTGAGGTGGACTGTGGTACTTCTCAGTCCCTGTTTGTGAGATACCTGCTTAAGTACGGGGTCAAATTTAGAGGATGGCAAGAAAAGCTCTCATTTCTTGTGCATCTTCTAAACTTTGGGCTCCCTTACTAACTGTGAGGTACAAGACTACTGGGAATGGCAGCTGATTGCAGATGGTTATAGCTTATACACATCAAACTATGTTTAAGCTTCCATTATGTACAGTAGTGATTGGACCTCTACAATGGAACTGATTCACTTGTCGTCATCTCTTGTCACTCTGGATCACTCCATATACCTAACGTTTTTGCATCAAAAGGCTAGAGCCAATGGTCTTCAATCCTGTGTGATCATCATCCGAGTCTTGAGAGACCTCTGCCAACGAGTTCCTACATGGTCACCTTTCCCTGGATGGGTGAGTATACTTGCTAATTATGCTAATAAAATGGAAACTTTTAGCAGACATGGTCCATGGTACAGTTTTATCAATTACCCCAGATAAAATGAAATAACTAAAGTAAATGAAATAAAATGTGCACAATACATACACTACTGAAACATCTAAATCATGGAATCACTAAAATGAAGATTCAATATAAAATCCACATCAATCAAAAGATTCATTAATCTTCATGGAAAAGACTTATAAATGACACAAACTTACTGGCACTAACTATACGATTTTTCAAAATGAAAAGTCTTAAACATAGTCTTCAAATTAGACAAGGTGTCAGCCTCACGGGTAGAAACTGGATTGGAAACTCTAGGAACTACAAGTAAACCTAGTCTGAGAGCAAAGTGCTCTGGTAGGAAAGTTTGGAACAATAAGTTCTGTAATATAAGATGTAGTTCTATAAATTTGTATGCTATCTATAGAACAGAATGTTAAAAGAATTAGCAATATCTGTTATCATATTTGTGCCAATATCATGTAACTGTATTTTTCCTTTAATGAGTCTGAAACACATATTATCAGGTTTACTTGAGTGAGTTCCAGACTTAAAGAAGTGGTTAAAAATAAACTATTTTTAATTATACTCAGAAATGGCAATGTGTCTGATCATTGACACTGATAGTAAGGTTCCACTACTCACACAACAATTGAGTCATTTTGACTCAGCTGTTAAGTCAAACCTGAGGAATGTATCTTGTCAAAAAAGTGGCCTTAAGCTAAGTTAATCCTAATAGCTGATCCAGAGTTGTTTGTTCCGCTTGAAAATTATTTTTAAACAAAGAAGGCTATTGTCAAAACATAATTCAGAGACGATTGTGTGTTTTATTTCCTGTTATGAGTATTGTAATCCTTCCTTTGTGCCCACCATCTGCAGAAGGGGCCATAAAAGTTGGGTGCATGATGCCCTGGGCAGTGTCCAAAGGCGAGGACCTTGGCGCTCTGTCCCTGGCTTACCAAAGTTGGCTCTTGGGATCTCCTTGAGAGGGGCTGGACATTATTCCACTCTGGAGTTGCCCATGGTGCATAGACATCACAACCATTATATGTGACAGGGACATGTCCTCCCCCCCCACCCCACACACACTTTTACTATGGAACATTAGTTCAGTCTGTGCTCTTTCTTCGTGAACGAATCCATTCCACTTGATTTATAGGAGAATACTCAAGCCACTAAAACTCCACTCCAGGTTATCCTGGTTACCGCCAACTCTAAACACAGCACAGCAGCATTGCAGGCTGCACTGTTTCTCCTCTACGTTTCCTGCCTCGGCAGAAAATGCGCACAGGTGGAGGAGGTGGAGACACCTCTGTGTTGCTCGCTCACCAGTTTAGCGAGCCTCATGCAGGCAGTTGTTGCCCAGGGGGATTAATCATGAACATGTATACATGGTTAGGAGGATGTGAGAGGAGCGCTACGTAGCATCTTAGCTTTGCAGTAACTGACACTGTAAGACGCTGCAGGTATAAGAGACGCTGTGTGTTAAGGTGCATTAAAGTTGAAATGTCTTTAAAACCCCACACCTTATTGTCCTCAAGCTTCATGAGAAACATCATTTAGATGAGAAGTGTTGAGCACAAGTAAAAAAAGTCTAGTGGTGATGTTTTTTATTTTTCTATAAACACAAATAGCGTCGACCTGATGCTGTGTATTTAAGTGTGTTAAAGTTAAAATGTCTTTAAAACCCACAGCTGATTTTACACAAACTTGGTGAGAAACACGCTTTAACTGTGTAAAATTAAGGGAAATCTAGGTGAAATGCTGCTTTTTTGTACACTAGTGTACAATTTTTTTACGTGCGCGCACACACACACATCATTGTGTCCCCCCCCACATTACGGATGCTTCTGATGCACTTGCCATGGTGAGAGGAGCCAAGTTGATATGGGTGTACTTTTAGCCGCCCAACTTGGTGCCTGTATGTTGAAATTTTCCCCGGTAGATGAAAGGGTTTCTTCCCTGCGCTTTCAGATGGGGGGACGGGTTCTGACTGTTGTTTGTACCTATACACTGAACTGCAGTTCAGAGTATCTGGACCTCTTGGAGTCCTTAGTGGAAGTCCTGGAAGGCACGCCAGCTGGGTACGCCTTTATTCTGCTTGGGGACTTCATTGCCCATGTAGGTAACTATAGTGTGACCTGTAAGGGCGTGATTGGAAGGTACTCTGATCTGAACCTGGACTTATGTGCTAGTCATGGTTTGTCCATCACAAACACCATGTTTGAACATAAGTGTGTCCATAAATGCACTTGGCATTAGGATGCCGTAGGTCGTAGAGCGACGATTAACTCGACTGAGTTGTGTCATCTGATTTGCAGCCATTTGTTTTGGACACTCAGGTGAAGAAAGGAGCTGAGCTGTCAACTGATCACCACCTGGTAGTGAGTTGGATCTGATGGCTTGGGAAGATGTCAGACAGACCCGTTAGACCCAAACCTGTAGTGAGGGTTTGCTGGAAATGCCTGGCAGAAGAACCCATCAGAAATATCTTAAACTCACACCTCCGGAAGAGCTTTAACCACATCCCAGCTGAGGCAGGGGACATCGAGTCCAAGTGGGCCATGTTCCGCGACTCAATTGTTGAGGTAGCTGCCTTGAGCTGTAACCTCAAGGTTGTCAGTGCTTCTCGCGGTGGCCATCCTCGAACTCGATGGTGGACACCCTGGGTTAGGGAGGCTGTCGAGCTGAAAAAGGAGTCATATTGGTCCTTGTTGGCTGGTGGGACTCCAAAGGCAGCTGAGGAGTACCAGAGGGCCAAGCGCTCCGCAGCCTTGGCTGTTGCTGAGGCAAAAGTTCAGATGTGGGAGGAGTTTGGGGAGGCCTTGGATAAAGACTCGGTCGGATCCGACGAGATTCTGGCAATCAATCAGGTGGCTGAGGAGGGGAAAGCAGCGCTTTACAAACACTGTGTTCAGTGAAGGTGGGGTGCCATTGATCTCAACCAGTGATGTCATCGGGAGGTGGAAGGAATAGTTCTCAGACCTTCTCAATCCCTCTGGCACGTCTTCCATGGAGGAAGCTGAGCTGAGTTGTCCGTTGTCATAGATTCTGTTCATAACTTTTATGGACAGAATTTCTCTGTGGAGCCAGAGGGTTTCTGGTTTGGTGGCCTCAGGATTCCATCTCTGCTCTTTGCAGATGATGTGGACCTCATGGTATCATCATGCCATGATCTTCAACCCTCAATGGAGCGGTTCACAGCCGAGTGAACCGGCTGGGATGAGCATCAGCACCTCCAAGTCTGAGGCCATGGTCCTCAGTCAGAAAAGGGTAGATTGCTGTCTTTGGGTCAAGGGTGAGGTTCTTCCTTAAGTGGAGGAGTTCAAGTGTCTTGAGGTTTTGTTCACAAGTGAGGGAAGAATGGAGCGTGAGATTGACAAATGGATTGGTGTAGCATCTGCAGTATTGCAGACTCTTTTCCGGTCCCTTGTAATGAAGAGGGAGTTTAGCTGTAAGGCAATGCTCTCTGTTTACCAGTCTGTTTACATTCCTACCCTCACCTATGGTCACAAACTCTGGGTAGTGACAGAAAGAATGAGATTGTGGATACAGGCGGTTGAAATGAATTTCTTCTGCAGGGTAGCTGGACTCTCCCTTAGAGATAGGGTGAGAAGTTCAGTTATCCAGGAGAGTATTGGAGTAGAACCTCTGCTCTTCCACATCGAAAGGAGCCAGTTGAGGTGGTTCGGGCATCTGATAAGGATGCTTCCTGGGCGCCTCTCTAAGGAAGTGCTTCGGATATGTCCGACTGGAAGGAGACCCCAGGGAAGACCCAGGACATGCTGGAGATATTACGTCTATTATTTGTTCTGGGAACCTCTTGGAGTCCTCCCAAAAGAACTAGAAGAGGTGGTTGTGGAAAGAGATTTTGACATTGATTGCACCATTTCAGCACCTTGATCCTTTTATTTTTTCATCTGTTCCTAGATGAACTACTGAGGGGATCATTGTGTTGTTGCATTATGACTCAGTTTGGTCCGAGCTTCAGCAATTAGACAGATAGACTCGCATTTGACTCAAGTATCTTTGGTCTGAGCTGCATGGTGGCGCAGTTGGTAGTTCTGGGTAGAATTTTTAACCCATCCTCCGAATACTGGTTTGATCAACTGTAAATGCAACAACCTGACATTTTGATTCCAGTGGTGGCTCTTGTTAGGCCCGAGCAGCGAAGCGCTGCGAAGGCCTATTGTAATCGCTCTGTTCACGCCCGAGCTGCAATTTTTTCCGCCAAATGAATTGGCATTTTGGAGGCCTTAACATATCCCAAAAGTCACCAATTTTGGCGGATGCATCAGGACTAGTAAAAAATTACGTATTTTAAAGGCATGGCAAAAATCGCAACAGAAACGGATCAAGATTGTCACCTAAAAAATTTTTTTAAATACCCTCCGCATTAACATTAGTTTGTCGTAGAAACATGAAATTTGGTACGCTTGTCCAATTCTTAAAGATGCACAGAAAACCCTCTAACACCAACGTTGTACGATAAATAGGAAGTTGGACATTTTGAAATGCTGGCCCTATTTTCACACCTTTTTGGCGGTTTACAGCCTCCGCATTTGAACAAACTCCTCCTAGGAATTTTGCTCAGTCGGTTTCAAACTTGACCATTTTGGTCAAAAGGCATGGGGGACGCAAAGTTATCTAAACTGTTTGTTTCAGAGCATGCTGAAGGGGTGGGGCCAGACCTTAAATTTCACATCTCGACATGAAAAACAAAACGCTAATCGCTCCTACACGAAAACTATCTGAAACATCAAACCTTCAGTGATTGATCCACATCCGGTCCCCTGCAAGACTGAATGGTCAAATCACGACATCACTTAAGCCACTCCACAGATATCATATAAAAGCTAGATACAGCATTGACCGCTATCGCCTATTGGCGCTGACGAGCCGTAGGGCCACCATTTTGGAACAGTCGACCGCTCCACTCAGTGTAACCTGTTAAGCAGGAGCAATG